CAGCAGCAGCAGGAACCTTCTGGCCAGAGGCCAGCCCCAAACACAGTCTGAGCTTCTGAGCAGGGTCGGGGCATGTGTTCCCTTCACAGGCATCAGTCTTTGGCAGTTCTATGGTTGCTGTGGTTTGCACTCTGAAGAAAGCAGCCCACTGAGCAGACTCTCGCTGCAATCCTTCTGAGGCGGGATGGAGAGGACCCATAAGGGAACAAACAAAGGGGAGGGGTACTTGGCCATTGCTCCAGCTGAGCAGACACACCTGTGTGCCTGAGCAGCAGGGTCCCATGGAAACCTGCCTAGGGATCCATGCTACATTTCCCCTTCTGTCTCCCTTCCCTCACAGCCTCGTGTTCATTCCTTCCTCTTCATGTGCCTTAGTCTGTCACCTGTCCCCTCAACTCAGGGAGAAAGAGCAACAAGAGAGGCAAGCATCACTGCTTGCAGTGGGGTTGCAAAGCAATCCAAACTTTTGGGATACAGAGAGGCTGCTGGGTGTGGAGGATGGAGGCAAGGATTTTTAGGGCTGTCCCAGAACCAACAGCCTTCAGCAATCACTTCCAGACAGGCACTATTTCTTGTACATACCCACATAAACACATTTCTCACCAACTTGGATTCCTGCAGTCACCAGCCTTTTCCTCGAGCTCAGAGGTGCAGGATGGAAGCAGACACAGAGAGCAAAGACATAACCGGGCAGGATGCCCCTCTGTGGTGTCTCAGCTACAGGGAACACCTTCCTGGCCCCAGGGTCGGTGTCAGACACCTTACAGAGCCTTTGCAATGGGGCTTGCCTCCAGCAAGTCCCATGCTCCAGTCCTCTGTGCATCCCTGTGATGGAGGGAACCCCAAACTGCAGGACAAGGCGAGGGTGTTCTTGCATACTGAGTGTTCAAAAACAAAGTGGGACCACAGCAAAGGTCACCAAACTACATTGCTTGTGAGCCTTTCATAGCCTTTACCACCTGGCAGCTTGCAGGGACTTCCTCAAGTCTCCACCTCAAACGCTTCCTATGTTTGTATCCTGCATCCCAGCACGAGAATCTGGAGTTAACCTATGAATTACTTCCCTGGCTTCCAGCATCACAGTTTTCTGGCATCTCACCCTGTAACACCAGGAGAGCCTTTCTCTCCTGACCCCTCAGCCTTCTGCTCACCCAGCCCTGGGCTGCCCTTCAGCCCTGCAAAAGCCCCCGGCTCTGTCCCACTTAACCAGACAGGAGGGTCCTTTCCCCGGGTGGCTCTGAGCTGGAAGAAGAAGCTCCTCGGGTACACGCATGGACTGAAGGCATTGAGGGGAGCCAACCAGGGGGACTGGGAATTTCCAAATCCTTCTGGATGCTGCCTCTGAGTTCAAGTCACTGCTAACACAGGGTCGCACAGCTCATCTCGACCCGCTGACCGGCAAATTCCTTCCTGCAGAGGTCCAATTCCCAGGACCCAGCACAGAGGTAGTTTGCAAAGCCCAGAGTGGAAAACCCCCGCGGCTGGGAAGGGGAGCAGGCTGCCTGCCAGGCACACGGTATAGAAATGCCGTATAGCAAAATGTTCCTCGGGAAGCAGGAAAGAATTGCTGGAAGCTGGTGGCACAAGAGCCAGTCAAGCTCCTTGCTGGCTGCCCCGCCATCCCCCAGAGTTCTG